GATCCAGAATGCTGCAGCACGTGTTCTGACAGGAACCAGGAAAAGAGATCACATTTCTCCTGTTTTAGCTTCTTTGCATTGGCTTCCAGTAAAATCCAGAATAGAATTTAAAATCATTCTTCTTACCTACAAAGCTCTTAATGGTCAGGCACCATCTTATCTTAAAGAGCTCATAGTACCTTACTACCCCACCAGAGCACTGCGCTCCCAGAATGCAGGGTTACTTGTGGTTCCTAGAGTCTCCAAAAGTAGACTAGGAGCCAGAGCGTTCAGCTATCAAGCTCCTCTCCTGTGGAACCAGGTTCCAGTTTGGGTTCAGGAGGCAGACACCATCTCCACATTTAAGAGTAGGCTTAAGACTTTCCTCTTTGATAAAGCTTATAGTTAGGGCTGGCTCAGGTGAGTCCTGAACCATCCCTTAGTTATGCTGCTATAGGCCTAGACTGCCGGGGGATTTCCCATGATGCACTGAGCTCCACTCTCCTCTACTTTCTCTCCCTCTGTATGCAACCTCATCCCATTATTGCATGTTACTAACACAACTTCTCCCCTTTCTGGTAGTCTTGTGCTTTCTCGTCTCTCTCCTCTCTCCTCCTATCACTTCCTGCAGGTGTTTCTGGCTCTGGAGCTGTGGAGTCTGGATCTGTGGTTGCGGGTCACCTGCTGCCCCCGTGTTCCTGCTCGACACCCTCTGCTGCAACGACTATTGTTGCTAGTCCTATTGTTATTATTGTTATTATAATCATTAACATAAGATTGTTATCATAAACACTATTATAAATATCTGTACCATTTTTCATTTAGTCTATAGCAACATCACCTTCACTGTCTGTACCTCTGTGTGTATATTGTGTAGGCTGCCTCCCTCCCCTCTCTCTCTCCTTACATCCCTCTCTCTCTCTCTCTCTCTCTCTCTCTCTCTCCTTCACCCCAACCAGTCGAGGCAGAAGGCCGCCCACCCTGAGTCATGGTTCTGCTCGAGGTTTCTGCCTCTTAAAAGGAAGTTTTTCCTTGCCTCTGTCGCCTAGTGCTTGCTCTTGGTGGGAACTGTTGGGCTTCTGTAAATATCATCACAGAGTACGGTCTAGACCTGCTCTTTTATGAAAAGCGCTGTGAGATAACTGTTGTTGTGATTTGGCGCTATATAAATAAAATTGAATTGAATTGAATTTAGGCAATATTATCAGGAAACACTCCATAAACTTCCATTGTTATTGCAGATGACACTCAGTTATATCTATCGATCAAACCAGATGAAACTCATCAGTTATCTAAACTCCAAATGTGCCTTCAGGATGTTAAAACCTGGATGACTTGTAATTTTCTAATGTTAAACTCAGATAAAACTGAAGTCATTGTTCTGGGGCCTAAGCACCTCTGTCACGCATTATGTAAAGATATGGTTTCCCTTGATGGCATCATAAGTGATGAAAGCATTGTTAGTGGGGGATAAGTGGTGGTGTAGACCCCCCCCCCCCCCCCTCTGTTCAATGATGAGCGTCCTTTATCCTTCAAGTCAAATTGTTAAGCTGGTTATGTAAGAATGGAGTAATAAGGGAAGCAAGGTCAATGTGGTTACCGGCTAGAATCTGTTGCCTGAGTGAGGGTGACAATGGGGATGGTCTGGCTGTGCCCATGGGGCGCACAGGAGGTTGTTGTTGTGGCTAAGGTGAAGTGATTACAGGGGAGGATATGTGGAAAGAGCAGCTGTGGCTGAAGATGAGGAGAAAAGGGGTGCATTAGAGGAGGGAACAATCACATTGGATGCATTTGGGATATGGGGTGGGGGGTAGGGGAGGGGGTAAAGAATAGACAGGAGGAGTAGTCTGGCCGATGGCGGTGTCGTGGGTCACCTGTGTGGGTGAGATCTGGGCAACTGTGGTAACAGGTATTCAAGTAGGAAGGACTGTTGGGGCCAGAGGAGATGGGATAGGGAAAGTAGGAACAAGGGAAGAAGAAAGGATGCTGGGATGGAGGGATGCATGTGCTTGGGTTGATTGTGTTGTTTGAGAAGTAGAGAAGGGAAGAGAGAGGGGAAGCGGCGTTGGAGAGATTAATTTAGTAGCGATTCCTTGTACCATTGGAAAAGTTTTGCTTTATTGTCGGAGTGGTGGAAGGAGAGGTTTCTCGGGTTGAGTTCTGCCTGCACCAACCAAGGACTAAACTCTCCACTATGGGAGACAGGGCCTTCCAGGCAGTCGCCCCACGGCTCTGGAATGCCCTCCCAGAGACCCTAAGGGCCCCACAAACTGTGGAGGTTGTTAAGAAGGGCCTAAAGACAGCGTTGCTCCACGGACGTCCCACTTACACATTAGCATGCTGAACAAAGGCCTCTGCAAGGCCAAACCATGTCCCTTGCCAAAACGCCTACCCCTCACTTCACTTCAGACCTCTTAGCCCGCTGCATTTAGACCTTCAGATCGGGTTATCTGACTCCATACATGGGCATCCATGTTTCTACTGGCATTCTTTGGCTTCTTGTGGTGCTCAGAGTTCATCGCCTCCTGCCTCCAATATCATCCGAGTATTCATGCCACCATGGCCGACAATCCGCAGACACTCTCATCTATCACCTCAAATGCAGCAAAACCAACCAGTTTACCGCAATCCAGCTACCTCTTCTGACTCACTTCTTACTTCAGTCACTATGAACCCATACATCTCTACGTGGACTGCAGACTAGCCAGCCATACTCTCTATTCATCAGAGAGGCAGGAAAAGTAGCCACACGCTTCTGGTTTCACCAACACCTTTGCCAAATCTGGAATATCCCCCAAACTGTACACCGGGCATACGTTCTGCATCGGATCCGACTCCTCCATCTCCAGGCAGGGAATCGTGAATAACATCATGTGTTATCCTTGGCCGCTGGTCTTCAACAGCATACCTCACGTACATTCGCAATGATCTAAATGATATCAGAAACGCCCACGCACATCTTTCCATCTGAAGTTCTTTTCATCCCTCGACCCTCTCCCCCATCCCTGCATCCCTCAGCCCATCCTCCGGGCACTTGATCCGTTTTTTCCATACAATCCCATCTTAGCTCCATCATAAGCTATAAACCATTTAAAATCTCTATCTTCGCAGGTGTGGTCTTTGTTAATGAATGTAGTATTTTGTAATCACACTTGATGGATACACACTGGGAATATTGTCCTGCTATGTATGTGGCAGGTTAGGAGATGATGGCGTGTCATTTCATCTCAAATAAATAATAATAATTATAATAATAAAGGGTATGGTTGATTCTTTACCTTTAGAGACCATCAATAGCTGCAATAATTACAGTCACAGCCACATCAAATTTTGGGGCCAAAAATTTTTATTTCATAGATTACTCACTACTCAAGTAATTTTTTCATAAACACTTTTGTACTCTTACTCAAGAAGTCATTTTGATGACTACTTAAGAAATTCATTTTGTACAGTAACAGTACTTTTACTTGAGCACAGTTTTTGGGTACTCTACCCACTCGTCTGTGGGATCAGACCACACGGGCCAGAATTTGCTCCCGACGTGCATCAGTGAGCCTTGGCCACTCATGACCCTGTCATCGATTCACTGGTTTTCTTTCCTCTGACCTCTTCTGATAGGTACTGAACCCTGCAGGCTGGGATCCCCCTGCAAGAGCTGCATTTTTGGAGATGTTCTGATCTATTCTTCTAGCCACCACAGTTTGGCCCTTGTCAAAGTCGCTCAAATCTTCACGCTGCCCATTTTTCCTGCTTCTAACACATCAACTTCACCTGCTGCCGGATAGATCCCACCCACTGACAGGTGACATGGTAATGAGATAATTAGTGTTATCCACGTCACCTTTGATACTTTGAGGTTTTGAGTTCGCCACATTCTGTGATCCAGAGGACAGATAAGGTCACATCAATAAAATATCAATTATCTTTAAAAATTTGAACTCAACTCTTAAACAACTTGACATTATGCTCATGGATAGAGTTCAAAAAAATTATTTTTCAGTATGTATTTGTGTTTTAGTAGTATATTGCTGTGATTTGAAAGTAGTTGATATTGTACTGATATTGTGTGCATGCCTGAATGATTACTACACATCTGTTTAATCAGATTGCTTTTAGACCTACATAACTTTGAGCCACTAATTTACACTGTGGGCTTGGACACAAAGAGAGATTAAATGTACTAAAATTATACATATGACAATGTGAAAGCATTCATTCATTCAAAAGCTGATGTTTCTTTTGTCTTCTTTCTGCAAATGAAACATGTATAGCAAAGTCTTAACGAAGTTCACTTGTCTTTTATGATGCAGTATGGGTAGCATTTTCTCAATGTAGGTCTATAACAACTAAGCTGGTATTTATTTCAGTCACTTAAACTTGGGAATGATGAATGAATGATGAATGCTTCAATAAACATGAAGAATATAATGTTATTTTAAGCATGATACTCATAGCAAACCTCATTTAACCATAGTGACGTAATTGTAGGATACACTGTGTTGAGAAAAGCGGACAGTGCATACTTAGCATTACTCATAAGTGTCATTTACATTGGAGACGCTGAGGACATGTCCCCACCACATTTTGAAATATCTGATTTTGTCTCAATCACTTTTTTACAAATGTTCTGAAAACTAACAACTAACTAATGAAAAGGCTTTGAGATTTTGAGGTTTATTTGCACAATAAGAAAACATGCAATGCAATGTAAATTTAGGAGAAACAAATGAGCATTTTCCAAAAAAAAATTGTTTTCCTTTATATAAATAAAGACACTTACACTGTAAATAGGAGCAGAAAATGCTTCCAGAATGCTGGAAATTAGGCCAATTGTCAGGGGAGGACCCCCAACCCCCCCACTCATATATTTCAGCATTTCATGTTCCTTCAAAATAGTGTTAAAAATCTTCAAAGTAAATATTTATATAAACAGATCATGAAGAGCATCAGCAAATCTCATCTGTTTTTAAAAAAAATTAACATTGCTAATTCTCTATTATGGAATTAAGAAATTCCATCTTTTAAGTGACAAGTTTGCTGATTTTAGCTTTGGTTTGGACGACTGAATGCAAAGGTGAGAATCTCTGACAGCAGAGATTGTACATGAGGACGGGTCTGATGGTCTGGTCTCTGAGACCATAGATGAGAGCACTCAGACATCTGGGAAGCATGATAGTACAAATATAAATAACAAACTGAATGCGCACAAATATGATCCTGTCTAGGTTTACAGAGATAGAAAAAAGCAAGAGATTGTACAGAGTTGAGGAGAGACAGAGGCCCAGCTGCACCAGATGCAGCAGCAGTGTGTTACGAACCTTACGGGCTGAAGCTTTGTCTGTGGAGGCCGACCTGGCTGCTATCATCACACCAATATAGGAGGAAATGATTGCCAAACCAGCTGTTGCAAAGAGGAAGCTATTGAAGGCATTGTCATAATCAGCAGCTATTGGATCAAGCATCATGTTGTCTTTGCCACAAAAATCATTCATCTGCAGACTCTCCAGCTCTGCAAATGGAAATTTTAACATTAGAAGAACTTGGATAAAAACACTGAGTGAACTGAAGACCCAAACAACACAAACAGCCACCCCTGTGTTTCTGACGGTGATGATGGCAGCGTGCCTCAGTGGGTAACACACAGCTACAAATCTCTCCAGACACATCACCACCAGTGTGAGAGGAGAGATTTTTGTTATGACATTGGCGAGCATTGTTAGAACACCACACACAGGATACGACAGTGTTATTCTACAAGCAGCCATTATGTACATTAACTGACCCTCTGCCATCTGTACAGTGTCTGCAAATAGGAGGTTAAACAGCAGAATGTAACGAGAGGTCTCACAAAACACTGGTTTACTCCTCAAGGTGAATAACAAGGTCACATTAATGAAGAGAAACACAAAACATGTCACTGTAGTCAGAATGGAAGACAACAATAATCCCAGTAAGCCTTGGTACTGCCGTCCAACAGTGATGTTTGTCTGCGATTGATTTGTGTAAGACATATTCAATAAAAAATTAAAAACATCAGAAATATAAACCTATTGATGGAAACTGGAGCACAATGACAAACTTAATTTGTCCAGTATTTATTCTTAACATTGTCATCACAGCTACTGAGTTAACATAAACCCAAAGTCTGCAGCTTACTTTTTCCCTGTGCAGACAGATAACAGAGTGGAGGCTTGTTTCCATGTGGGCAGCGCTGGTCTGCAGGGTTTGCCTGTCCTCACATATTGTTTATGAGCTCTGTCTTCACACCTCCTTCATGTGACGTCGTCACTTGTCAGCACATGTGTGACATGTAATGGGCAGGGATTAAGCACTGGACGTGTAACTCGTTGTATTTTAACATAAAGAAATACAAAGTAGAGTAATGAAGCAAATAAAGCTGTACACCCCCACCTTCACCAGCTTTTTAAACTTTCTCAAAAAATACCCTATTAACTTTCCACTATAGTCAATAAGTTTGCAGTCAAAAACTTCTCTGGAGACGGTCAAGAGTAAGTAAGTAAGTAAGTAAAATTTATTTATATAGCACTTTTCACAGAAAAATATCACATATGTGCTTCCCAATAAAACAACAAAATACAGTTCTAGCTAAACACCAGAAACATATTGACATATGGCAGACAACTTTAAAACCAAGCTTAATGTTTAGCAAACACCTGTTTGAATAACAGAGTCTTCAGCTGCTTTTTAAAAGAAACTACAGTTTAAGGTGCGTAAAGAAGTGGGGAGTGCATTCCACAAACTGGGTGCAGCTGCTTGGAAAGGCCGGTCTCCTCTGGTCTTAAAGTGGGCACGGGGAACTACCAACAGCCTCTAGGTTACGGGGGGGGAGTAAGTTGCTGTAACAGGTCGGAAATGTAAGAGGGAGTTTGACCATGTAACACTCTAAACGTAAGGACCAAGATTTTAAACTGAATTCTAAAATGAATGGCAGCCAGTGAAGGGATGATAGGACTGGAGTAATGTGCGCTCTTCTGCTTGTATGTGTTAAGAGTCTAGCAGCTGAGTTCTGGACAGCTTGGAGGCGAGTGAGTTCCCCTTCGAGGGAACTCGAACTGCGTCGGTTACGACACTATGGGAACGCCACTCGGCGTAGCAGGTCTGAACGTGAATGAAATCACTCCAATCCTATTGGCTTGTTGCTAGAACGGTAAGGTGTGACGGAATAACTGGATGGAGATTCTCATGAGATGTGTGTCTCATGTTTGGGGATGGAGCACACCCGGGCAGCTCTCGAGGGGGCTGCCTGCGGCAGTTGCGAAGCCCTTTCCGTGCGGGTACTGAGGTACAGCATGGCTCTCTTTTCCGAGGATGGCCGGATGTGTTCTACCTGAGGGGTGGGCCCTGCGGCCGCTGAGGCGGCCCGGCGGCTTCACTCATGGGGCATCACAGCGTGATCTGTCGGAGGATTTTGGGATGGCTGAGGCTTTTTCCCGACCTTCATCTGCTGGCTCCAACACTTCCTTTCCTCGTTTGGGAGCCCGTTCTCGGCTTCCCTCGTTCGCGGTTTGGATCCGGAGACGCTGCAGCAATCCGACTCGGAGGAGGCGGACGTGCTCAGCGTAGTGGACGATGACTTCCGGGTGTTGGGGAGTCTTTCTCCCCTCCCGTAAGTTTGGTAGGAAACTTGGTTCCTGTCCCAGGGGCCCGTGCTGGTAGGGTCTTGTCGCCGGCTGGTCATTTCGACAGACGCCTCCCTCACGGGCTGGGGCGTGGTCATGGGCGGCCGCTTTGCAAGGGGATCATGGCAGGTGCATCAGTCCGAGTGGCATATCAACTGTCTCGAGATGTTGGCGGTGTTCCAGGCTCTAAGGAGTTTCCTGCCGGATCTCCAAGGCCACCACGTCCTGGTTCGTTCCGACAACACAGCGGTGGTGGCCTATCTGAATCACCAGGGCGGTCTGCGCTCGCGCCCTCTGTACAGACTGACGCGTCAGATCCTCCTGTGGTCCCAGCAGAGGTTACTATCGCTCAGGGCGATGTATCTCCAAGGGGACGCAGAATTAGGGAGCAGACCTGCTGTCGAGGCAGAGGCTGAGGCCCGGGGAATGGAGACTTCACCCCGAAGTGGTGGAGCTCTTGTGCGCAGAGTTCGGCCCCATAGATGTGGATCTGTTTGCGTCTCAAGAGACTACGCACTGCCCACTATGGTTTTCTCTCGTTCCTCCAGCCCCGTTGGGTCTGGACGCCATGGTACATTCGTGGCAGAGGCTACGTCTGTACGCTTTTCCCCCAGTCGCTCTGCCCCCGGGGTTCTGGAGCGGGTCCGCCAGGACAATGTCGGCCTACTGCTCGTAGCCCCGTTCTGGCCAACCCGGGTGTGGTTCTCGGACATCATGTCGCTCCTGGACGGCCCACCGTGGCAGGTCCCTCTGAGGAGAGACCTGCTGTCCCAGGTGCAGGGCCGGGTTCTTCACCATTGCCCCACCGTATGGCGGCTGTGGGTCTGGCCCCTGAGGGGGCACAGTACCTAGAGGCGGGTCTAACAGCCGGAGCAGTTGAGACCCTCCTCAGCTCCAGGACCCCGTCCACACGGATCATCCGTGGTGCCCGGAGGATGAGACCTGCGACTTGGTCCAAGGTTCCCACTTGGGATCGGGCGGTGGTTCTTGGGGCGTTGGCTGAGGCCCCCTTTGAACCCCTGGAGTCAGCTGAGGCTAAGCACTTGACCCTCAAGATGGCCTTCTCCTTGCTATCACCTCTCTGAGGAGGGTGGGGGATCTCCAAGCACTTTCGGTTTCCCGCAAGCCTGGAGTTTGCCCCAGGGAATATTAGGGCTATCCTGCACCCTCGTCCAGGATACATCCCTAAAGTGCCTTCTTGTGCGGCAGGGTCCACAGTGCTGCAGGCATTTCATCCTCCACCTCGTGTGACGGCGGAGGACGGGAGACTTCATCTGCTCTGCCCTGTCAGAGCACTGAGTATTTACACTCTGAGGTCCTCCCGTTGGTGGAAGGCTGACCAGCTGCTAGTGCGTTTTGGGTCCCCCAGGGCTGGGCTCCCTGTACCCAAACATACTATTAGCAACTGGATTGTTCAGACCCATGTCCCTGGACTATCAGGTGCGCGGTTTGCCTTCACCTGTGGCTCTGAGGGCTCTTTCTACCAGAGGCAGGGCGGTCTCTCAAGCCCTCCTTTCTGGGGCCTCTTTGCAGGATGTTTGTTTAGCGGCTGCCTGGGCCACTCCGCACACATTCATTCGGTTTTACAGTCTTGATCTTCCTTCGGCACCTGGCACTCGTGCGCTCTCCTCTTAGTCATGCCACTTTATTGCACACTGGGGCAGGCGGGGTTTTCGGCACGGTTTAGTGGGTATCTCGTTCCCATAGTGTCGTAACCGACGCAGTTCGAGTTCCCTCGAAGGGGAATGTCTCGGGTTACGTATGTAACCCTGGTTCCCCGAGAAGGGGAACGAGACAATGCGTCGGCCCGCTGCACCTCTCTCCCCACTTGAAGCGCCTGCTTCATAGTTTAAGCTAATGATGAGTGTGTACAGGTGTGCTTTATACTCCTCCGGTTATTCCATCACACCTTACCGTTCTAGCAACAAGCCAATAGGATTGGAGTGATTTCATTCACGTTCAGACCTGCTACTCCTAGAGGCGTTCCCATAGTGTTGTAACCGACGCAGTGTCTCGTTCCCCTTCTCGGGGAACCAGGGTTACATACGTAACCCGAGACATTCTTTATTACTCATGCATGTAAAAAGACTATTACAATAATCTAAACGGGAGGATACGAAGGCATGGATGATCATCTCTAATTCCATCTTTGACACCACTGATCTTAGTTTGGATATGTTCCTCAGTTGGAAGAAGCAGTTTTTAATTAGTTGGTTGGAATGATGCACTAGTAACATTGCTGAGTCAAAGACAACACCTAGGTTCCTATGGCTCGGTTTCACAGACAAGCCCAGGTCACCCAAATATTGCTTGATCAAAGGGGTAATGCTATCAGGTGCAATAATTACTGTCTCTGTCTTATCTGTGTTCAGTTGCAAAGAGTTCTCATTCAGCCAGTGCTTGATGTTGCTCCAACAGTTTGCTAGTGCGGATAATTTATGGAGATCTGTGGCCTTAAATGAGCAATACAGCTGAATATCATAAAAGTGGTAAAATATATCGCTGAACAGTCTGATAATTTGTCCAAGAGGGAGAATGTACAGGAGAAATAAGAAAGGTCTCAGGACGGACCCATGGGGTACCCCATACAACACTGCTTTATCCGAACATGTTTGCAAAAACACTAAAACTTCTGCCAGACAGATAAGATGAAAACCATTTTAAGACCGTTCCAGACATCACTGCCAGCTCGTGGAGTCTTTTTAGCATGATATTGTGATCAATAGTATCGAAAGCGAGGAAAGGTCTAATAGGACTCTACTTATGGTGAACTTCTTATCCTCTGGTGTCATGCTGCTTACATGTGTTGTTTTACCAATTAACACTGCTGTCATTCATTACTGTATTGTTGATTTTCTATATTTTTACATTACTGGATAAGAAGTTCACCATTACATTTCAACTTCAGTCTCACCGTATTTTTTAAAAGTTATGCACGCATAATTTGACGCACAATTTTATTTCTTAAAAAAATTAATACAAGAATAACATGTAATGCTGTATCTTTCATTAATGCTTGGTTTCTTACAGTAATCTTGATGTTGTGCTGGCTGTTTTCTGCTTTTCTGCTTATCATCTATCGTTTCGTTTTCGTAAAGCGTCTGTCGTCTTTTTTGTCATCCACTATCTGACGCGTTTTTATCAAGCATCTGTCGGTTTTTCTGTTCAGCAAATATTCCTTCAGCAAGTTCACTCCAACTGCTCCCCCTCTCTGTGTCTTAGGCATGCCCTCTGCTGGACATGATATTTTAACCATAACCTGACTTTGTGGAATAAGCCGGTGTCTTACTGTGATGGACTATATTGATATATTGTTTTTTAACACCATTTTCACTAATTCTGCTTCTTCATTTTCCTTAGCTGGTGTCTTGGTGCTGTGTTACTGTGCTCCCTCACTCTGCTCCCAAAGCACACATTGTTGTGGTGCTACAGAGTCTCCCCATTACCTTGTGTTCTTTTGTTCCACCTTCCCTGTGTTTTCTGTCTGTCCTCCCTGTCTGTGTCTGTCTGGGCGTGGCTACACTCTCTGGCTCCAGCGGCGCACCTGGTTCTCGTTCCACTAATCAAGCTCCTGCAGTATTTCAACCCCAGTCCTCCTCACATTCTTTGCCAGATCGTCAGTTAACCACATGTGGTACATGCGTCAAGGCCGACAATCTTCTCCTGTAAGATTCCTAGTAATTTCTGTCTCTCCCTGGATTAACCTGTTTTTCTCTGTGCCCAGGATCACACTACCTCCGGGAACCCTGCCGAACGCCACACCCTGCTCTGCACCTATCTTACCTGGACTTACTCCCCTCCTCCGTGTTCTCCATGCTGCCCTGTTGGATCTATCAATAAAACCCTTTTGTCACCCCTTCGAACTGTACCGAGTCTGCCTTTTAGTCCTCAAGTTTTTTCACTATGACACACATGCTTGCTTACACACATACACGTCCTACTGCTGAGCCTGGGCAGTTACACACACACACTCAGAGCTATAGAGTTTTAACACTGTGATCTTAACTTTACACTATAAAATAACACTTTAAATGATGACAATGTAGACCACCATTTCTTTAGTAATTAATAACAATTTAGGCTCTAAAATTATTCACAACAATCCCAGTACCCCTGAATGCAGTTTGCAAATTGGGGAAGTGCTCAACGTGGGCGGTGTCAAACATTTGACTCCGCCCACTTGATAAAGACCCGCATGCGCAAAAGAATAACACGACATCACACGCAGCATGCTGTTGTATGAAAGTAAACAAAGAGCCCAGGGGTTAGCTCTGTTTAGCTCATACTTGCTAACTGTCCCAACTTTTACAGGAAACTTTTCATTGCCATACCCCATCTTTCTCCCAGGGTGATAAGTCTCCTGATTTATCTCCTTTTCATTGCATTTATTACAGTAGTTGTTTCTGGCTGGAAAATTAGCTGCAACCAGCAGTTAGCTCAGGCTAAGGAGCTAATGCTATATGCTACTCTGCTGCTGTCGGCACAACGCAACACCCCCAGCTGTAATCATATACACCAACTGTTCTGAGCTATTGCTTAAATGATTACCGGCTCGCTGCACATTATCCCGGCTTGCCGCACACTATCCCTCACATAACATAGTCCCAGAGTGTGCGAGTTAAAATTAAAAGAAAATTTAATTATTACCGTATAATGAACTGTGAGTTAAAACAATAACTGGGGATGGATTAACAACGTTTGCAGATGGTGAAACTGACAAAAGACGTTTGAAGAGGTATATTTTCAATAAAGTGAATTAAAATAAACTCTTTTTTAATGTAATTATTCTCACCTTGCCAGTTTCATCTACAGCCTTTTGAAATAAGTGTGTATTTTTTCTTACAATGCATCCAGTCCATGAAATATTTTGTGATAAATAGGTAATTCATTTTATATATTTTATAAATACTTTTTATTTCATTAACAGTACACAGTTACTACCCATTCATACTAATAATAATGTTTACTTTTCTCATGAGAATGGAGATAGACTACACCATATAGACATGTTGACAAGCTGAATGTGCTGTGTGCATTAAGTTATAGCAGCTCCTGCAACGAGATCGAGAGATCAAGCAGGTGACTTCTACATCATCTTTACTAACACAATAAAACAATTAACACAAACAAAAAACAAAGTTTTGACAGCTCATTACACATGACTTCACATGTGCTCTACAAAAGAGGCAAAGACTTTCAGACCTTTTTTAAAAATACAGTCTATGGCTTCCACGGGGCTTCTTGGGCATCTCAGGGCCTTGTTGAAAGTGGGCAGAGTCAAACGTTTAACGCCGCCCACTTTGAGCACCGCCCTGATCTGCTCCCTGCAGTGAGGGGCTTCTCGCTGGACTTGCCTAGCACGGTGTCTAGCATCAGATGCCCAAAACCACCTCAACTGGCTCCATTCAACACTATTCCGAGTGTCAGGTTTTGGCGAGTGCTCAGGCAGAAACAGGTAGCTGAGACACCAAACAAGGCTGAATAAGTTTGCTGGATTTTTAGATAATAACAAAACCGTTCTCATCTCAGGGTTTCCAACACCAATGCTTTCAGGAAAAGTGATAAAAATGTAGTTATTTGACGCCAAAGGTACCTTTCAGCGTCTCATAGAGAAGCAACGGGTGCAACGCTTCCAAATGTGTCTCTATGAGACGCTCTGGGGTGTCTCATATAGAACAGAAGTGCTAGCTAGCTAGGTGGTGAACATCAACAGGTGTTGAACATCAACTAATCAGACAAGGAAGGATTAGGCAGACTGGACACAGGACTCAAACAGCACCAGAGTTGTTAAAAAAACAAGGAACAAAAAGGGCCAGACCCAGACTAAACTAGCTTACTAAATAAGCACATGGACACAATTAAACTGCTACACTGATAAAACTCAAACATATAGGGAAAAGACCAAAACAAGCATCAAGAATAATGTACAGAGAGAGAATGAAAAAATAAACATTAAAACAGGCAGAGAAATAAACACCTAAACTAAGACCAAAAACAGACCAAATTAATCACAAGCCCAGATCAAACAGAACCAGATTGTGACACCAAGTTCCTCATGAATGACTTGGCTTCTCACGCTATCTCTAAGAGGGAAGCCAGCCACCCTCCTGAGAAAACCTCTTTCAGCCTGTTGTATCTGTGATCTAGTTCTATCGGGCATGACCCAGCCTTCATGACCATAGGTGAGGTGAGGAACAAAAACTGACTGGTAGGTCAATTGGTTTGACTTTCGGCTCATCTCTGTTTTCGTCACAATGATGCGGTAGAGTGAATGCAAAACTGCCCCTGCTGCTTCGGTTCTTTGGCCAATAAACTAGTCTGTTGTCCCCTCACTCGTGAACAAGACCCTGAGGTACTTGAGGTCCCTCACTTGGGGTAAAGACTCATTCCCTACCTGGAGTCAGCATTCCATTGATTTCCTGTCCTCAGATCTCGAGTGTGAACAAATCCAGTGAGTGCTGAAGAGCACAGACCAATGACGCCATCAGAACCACATCAACTGCCAAAAGCAGCAATGAGATCCCCTGCCCATCAAACTCCATCCCTTTCCTACCCCGACTACGCCTCGCTTTCCTGTCCATAAATATAACAAACAGGATTGGTGACAGTGCAGCTTTGGCGGAGGCCAACCCCCACCTTGAACGAGTCTGACTTACTGCAGTCCATAGAATCCATTCACAGCTCTCATTTTGGATGCAGAGGGATCGCATATCCCTTAAAAGAAGGGACCCCCTCAAGCCATACTCCCACAGCACCTCCCACAATATCTCCTGGGCACGGTCTTATGCATTGTCCAGATCCACAAAACTCCATGTAGACTGTCTGATGACTCAGGAAGGGAAAGCAGGGCCTGGCTCTGGCTATGTTCTGGAGGCAGACCCAGGGTGGTGGTTCCCATTTTGAAAAAGAAAGTTTTTCCCAGGGTGCTAGAAAGGACGCTCCGACTGATCGTTGAATCGGAAGTCAGGAAGATCAGTGCAGATTCCGTCCTGGCTGTGGAACAGTGAAACAGTTCTTTAAACCTGCAGGGCTGTTGGTGGGGTCATGGGAGTATGATCATCCAGTCTACATGTGCTTTGAGGAATTGGAGAAGATTTAATACCACGTTACCTGAGGAGTCAAAGTGTGACAGTCAGTGGGTGTTGGACTCAAGGTTGCCCCCTGTCTCCAATTCTGTTATGTTCATGGAAAGGATCTCAAGGCACATCCGAGTTGAGGAAAGTGTTCAGTTTTCAGATAAAAATCCCTGTTTTTTCAGATGGCGTGGTTCTGTTGGCTTCATTAGAATGTGACCAGAATGCACTTGGCTGGTTTGCAGCTGGGTGGGGTGGTTGGGATGAGGCTTAGCACCTTTAAGTCTAAGGCCGTAGTTCTCTGATGGAAAATTGTGGATTACTCCCTCTGGGTTATGAGGGAGTTGTTTCGCCAAGTGAAGGAGATTAAGTATCTCGATGTTATTCACGAGTGCCGGCAAAATGGAACGTGAGATGGACAGGCAGATTGGTGCAGTGTCAGCAGTAATGCGGGCATTGTACTGGACTGTTGTGATGAAGGCCGGGGGCTTGCACCAGTTTATGGTGATTTTTATGTAATGAGAAACACAAAATTCAGATGGCAGGTGACAATTCAAATATTTATATATTTTTATAGCCTAACTTTAAGCGTAACTATAACAGAATATAATGCTGTGCAGCTCTCAGGCATTCTGTATTGCTTTCAGAAATGTTTCTCCTGTAGATCAACTTTTCTCCTGTAATATCATTCCTGCTGAGTCATGATTTAGTCTTCCTTCCTCTTCGTGTCTTTGTTTCGGGAAGTACCCCCTTTAAATGTGACTGTGGCTCCTTTTCACCTCAATGAGAAATTATTTAGTTTTAATTCAATTAGAAACTCCTGGACTTTAATAGCTCCTGTGTTTCAGCAGATTTTCTGCTCATGTTCAAAACTTTCTGCACATTCAGAATCTCTCCCACAGATCTGTGTTTTCTGACATGTCCAGACAAAAGGCAGATTATTACCAGACTAATGTCATCATTTAATGAGAAGTCTACTTGCTGTGTTGCTCTGCTCTGTGTAAGGTCATTCATACACTTGAACATTATCCCCTTCAGACTGTTTGACCAATGCAGTTTGGGACTGCATGTTGCATGTGAAGCCGAAACTAACTAAAACACTTCTGATCAGACAGAAATCTCAACACAAATCCACACACATGCTAACTTGAACAGCTCAGAAAGTGCAGCTCACAGTCCCAAACAGAACAAGCTGCGCTACAGTTTTTAGATGTTTCTGTTGCAAAACTTTACCAGCTACGTTACGACTCGTCACAGGTGTCTGGACTTAGAGCGCGAGCGAATTCCGTTGATTAGTATCAGGGCCTACACTTTTGTGGCATCAGCTGGGTGGAGTTGATTAGCTCCCTGAGTCTTAGATGAGTTATAGATTTGGATTTCACCGTGTAAGAAAATAACACAATGCATTCACACTGAGAGCATAAAAGGGGACATGATGTGGACATCGTGTCAGCCCAGGTATTCAATTCAATTCAATTTTATTTATATAGCGCCAAATCACAACAACACTATAAACTCATTGGATGTATTCATATTAAGAAATTAGTTTTGGTTCTAGATTCTAAAATAGGGTTTTGATCCACTGGGCATGGCACTACAAATAAATACCATTAAACACGCAACTTCTGTTTTCTTTAAGTCTGGATGAGCTGATCAAGTTTATTGACAAAGTTAAACCATTGCTAGTACAACGTGGAATAATTCTGTGGTCATAAGTCATCACTTTGTTGCCAGCTTTGCTGTGGGGTGCAGAGTGAACCACCTACTCCTGAATATGACGAAAACCAAGAGGATGGCCATATAGATGCTCTCATTTCAAGAAAAACACAACTATGTGTTGAACCATACACAATCAGGAAGAGATGATATAGCACTACAAGTAAATATTTATACACAACACATAATGAAGAGCATCAGCAAATCTCACTTGACTTTTTAAAATGAACATTTTTAATTGTCTATTAAGTTGAATTAATGAAGATTTGTTAAGAAATTCCATCTTTTAAGTGACAAGTTTGCTGATTTTAGCTTTGGTTTGGACGACTGAATGCAAAGGTGAGAATCTCTGACAGCAGAGATTGTACATGAGGACGGGTCTGATTGTCTGGTCTCTGAGACCATAGATGAGAGCACTCAGACATCTGGGAAACATGATAGTACAAATATAAATAACAACCTGAATGCGCACAAATATGATCCTGTCTAGGTTTACAGAGATAGAAAAAAGCAAGAGATTGTACAGAGTTGAGGAGAGACTGAGGCCCAGCTGCACCAGATGCAGCAGCAGTGTGTTACGAGCCTTACGGGCTGAAGCTTTGTCTGTGGAGGCCGACCTGGCTGCTATCATCACACCAATATAAGAAAAAATGATTGCCACACCAGCTGTTGCAAAGAGGAAGCTATTGAAGGCATTGTCATAATCAGCAGCTATTGGATCAAACATCATTTTGTCTTTGCCACAAAAATCATTCATCTGCAGACTCTCCAGCTCTGCAAATGGAAATTTTAACATTAGAAGAACTTGGATAAAAACACTGAGTGAACTGAAGGCCCAAACAACACAAACAGCCACCCCTGTGTTTCTGACGGTGATGATGGCAGCGTGCCTCAGTGGGTAACACACAGCTACAAATCTCTCCAGACACATCACCACCAGTGTGAGAGGAGAGATTTCATTTGTGAGATAACCAAGCATGTTGAGAAAGCCACACACAGGATACGTCATTGTTATTCTACAAGCAGCGATTATGTACATTAACTGACTCTCTGCCATCTGTACAGTGTCTGCAAAAAGGAGGTTAAACAGCAGAATGTAACGAGAGGTCTCACAAAACACTGGTTTACTCCTCAAGGTGAATAACAAGGTCACATTAATGAAGAGAAACACACAACATGGCACTGTAGTCACAATAGAAGACAACAATAATCCCAGTAATTCTTGGTACTGCCGTCCAACAGTGATGTTCGTCTGCGATTGATTTGTGTAAGACATATTCAATAAAAAATTTAAAACATCAGAAATATAAACTATCTATTGATGGAAATTGGAGCACAATGGCAAACTTAATTTGTCCAGTATTTATTCTTAACACTGTCAACATGACTACTGAGTTACCATAAACCCAAAGTCTGCAGCTTACTTTTTCCCTGTGCAGACAGATAACAGAGAGGAGGCTTATTTCCATGTGGGCAGCGCTGGTCTGCAGGGTTTGCCTGTCCTCACATATTGTTTATGAGCTCTGTCTTCACACCTCCTTCATGTGACGTTGTCACTTGTCAGCACATGTGTGACATGTAATGTGCAGGGATTAATAATAATAATAATAATAATCTTTATTTGTAGAGCACTTTTCAAAAACAAGTTACAAAGTGCTTCAACAAGACAACAATACAAGCAAGAAAACATTGAAAAGATTAAAATACATGTTTAAGATAAATATAAAATTAGTAAAATACAATAAAATAAAAGGGATAAAATAAAGTCAAATAAGATCGGGAAAGGCTCTCCTATAAAAGTATGTTTTAAGAAGGGACTTAAAAGAGTTCACTGACTCAGCCGACCTGATTTCCTCGGGCAGGCTGTTCCAGAGCCTCGGGGCCCTGACAGCAAACGCTCTGTCCCCTTTAGTTTTGTCTGGAGTCGATCAATAGATTTTTGGGTTAAACAGGTGAAAAGGCTGTTGCAATAATCCAGGCGTGATGAGATGAAGGCGTGTAAAATGGTCTCGGTGTTCTTAAAAGTTAACATAGATCGAATTTTTGCTATATTTCTAAGTTGATAAAAACATGATTGAACAAGCTTTGTGGTGTGTTGCTCGAAATTTAAATTATTATCAAACCAAACACCAAGGTTCTTTGCCACAGGCTTAATGTGATTTACTAGGGAACCAGCAGATGGCAGTATTTGTCAGATATGGTTTAACCAGAACCCAGAAGCAGACAGAGACGGGAGGCCTTTTCACAGACTTTATTGAGAGGCAGGCAAGACAAGGTGGGAGCGAGTGATTGAGCTTGGTGGCAGGCTCGACGATAGGCAGGGACGGCAGGCAGTGTGTGCTCCTTCAGAAAAAACAGGCAGGTATGGGCATAAGAGAAGGCGTCCTCTCCAGATCTATACAACATAACAATCCAGCGAAGGCTGAGGAGAACTGCAGGGCTTATGAAGCAGCACAGAACAACATGATATGGATCAGGTGTGCTAATCAGTCTGCCAGACAGGTGAGTGAGCCAGAGCCATGCTTCCCCACCAGTCACGCCTCCTGTCAAACTGCAAAGGTAGAGAGAGAGAGAGGCCGAGCAACAGAAAAACCAAAACACACCAGCCAGCCTCACACACTCAGAAAGTAACAAAACACAGACAACCACACACAGACCCTCCCAGCATAGTCATAGTTGAGACCTCGTGACAGTACCCCCCGTCCGACGGCCGCCTCCAGGCGGGCCACCAGGTTTCTCTGGGTACCGACGATGAAAGTCTCTGACCAGAGTAGCATCCAGGATTTGAATGCGAGGAATCCAGCTCCTCTTTTCCGGACCGTAACCCTCCCAGTCCACTAAGTGTTGAGTAGTAGAGTCCAGCAGGCGGTGAACAGTAAACACCTGCTCACCATCGACGAATCGGGGTGGGGGAGCCGGGGGCGGCGGTGGGAGCAACGGACTGAAGGCAACAGGCTTGAGTCGGGACACATGGAATGAGGGATGCACCTTCATGGAGCGGGGCAGCTTTAGCCTGACCACCATGGGGTTTATGATTCTTTCTACTACAAAGGGCCCGAGAAACCTAGGAGAGAGCTTGCGTGAATCAGTCTTCAACGGTAAGTCTTTGGTAGACAGCCATACCTTATCACCCCTAGAGTATTTGGGGGCAGGGACCCGATGACGATTGGCCTGATGCTGGTACTGAGCTGAGGTCCTTAGCAGCTTGGAGCGGGCCCGGTGCCACGTCCGGTGACACCGCCGGATATGAGCCTGGACCGAGGGAACTGCAATGTCCTTCTCTTGGGAAGGAAACAGAGGTGGCTGATATCCGTAGAGACACTGGAACGGCGACATACCTGTAGCAGTAGTCGGCAGAGTGTTGTGAGCGTACTCGACCCATGACACTTGAGAAGCCCACTTGGTGGGATTATTGGAAACCATGCAGCGCAGCGTTACCTCCATCTTCTGATTAGCTCGCTCCGCTTGGCCGTTAGTTTGAGGATGGTACCCGGAAGATAAACTGACAGATGCTCCCAGAGCAGAGCAAAACTCCTTCCAAACAGCGGAGATAAACTGCGGACCACGGTCAGACACAATATCCAGAGGAAGCCCGTGGATACGGAACACCTGCTTGACGAGGACCTCCACCATCTCTTTGGCAGAAGGTAATTTAGGAAGTGGGATTAAATGTACAAACTTGCTGAATCTGTCGACCACCGTGAGGATGGTCGTCTGACCCTCAGATGGAGGTAACCCAGTCACAAAGTCCAGAGCCAGGTGCGACCAAGGACGACGAGGAATGGGTAGTGGTCGCAGGAGACCGGCGGCGGGCTGGTTAGACCCCTTGTTCTGGGCACACACAGGACAGGCAGCCAAAAACGCCCGAGTATCCGCCTCCATGGTGGGCCACCAGAACCTTCTGCGAAGGAAGGCCAGAGAGCGAGAGACTCCAGGATGACCTGTGAGTCTAGATGAATGAGCCCATAGCAACACTGCAGATCTCATAGGAGAAGGTACAAAAAGACTGCCAGGAGGACCGTTGGATCAGGATGTTCACGTAGAGCCGCCTTGACCTCCTCTTCAATCCTCCAGGTGATGGCGCCGACCACACAGGCGCTGGGGATCATAGTGTCCAGAGTGGCAGAAAAGTCCTCATCCCTGCTGAATGCTCGGGACAGTGCGTCAGGTTTGATGTTGCGTGAACCAGGTCTGTAAGTCAGTGTGAAATGGAAACAACCAAAAAACAACGCCCACCTGGCCTGACGGGAATTTAGTCGCTTGGCTGAACGGATATAGTCCAAGTTCTTGTGGTCGGTCCACACCACGAATGGATGCTCCGCTCCCTCCAGCCAGTGCCGCCATTCCTCCAGTGCCAGTTTGACCGCCAACAGCTCCCGGTCACCCACGTCATAGTTCCTTTCTGGAGGAGAGAGACGACAGGAGAAAAAAGCACAGGGATGCATCCTGTCATCTGAAGCCCACTGGGACAGCACGGCACCAATGCCGACCTCGGAAGCATCAACTTCAACAACAAACTGTTTTGTGGTGTCAGGCTGGACCAAAATGGGTGCTTCAGTGAACCGCTTCTTTAAGTCTGAAAAGGCTGCACTACCCTTCGGTGACCACTGGAAGGTTTGGGAGGTAGAGGTAAGACCAGTCAAGGGGGCAGCTACGCGGCTGTAATTGCGAATAAACCTCCGGTAAAAGTTAGCAAATCCCAAAAACCTCTGTAGCTGTTTCCTGTTCTCTGGTTCAGGCCATTCGACCACTGCCCTCACCTTGCACGGATCCATCCTTATCTCACCTTGAGAGATTTATATTGCCCAGAAAAGAGACCGTAGGGGTATGAAACTCGCACTTCTCTGCCTTTACAAAAAGACGATTCTCCAAAAGGCGTTGCAATACCTGGCGAACGTGGTGAACGTGCTCAGCTGGATCTCTGGAAAAGATCAAAATATCGGCGAGATAAACACAAATCTGTCAAGCACATCTCTGAGGATGTCATTAACCATGCCCTGGAAGACTGCTGGAGCGTTGGTAAGCCCAAACGGCATAACCAGATACTCAAAGTGCCCAAGGGGAGTGTTAAAGACAGTCTTCCATTCGTCTCCCTCTCTAATGCGAACCAGGTGATAGGCATTGCGTAGGTCCAGCTTGGAGAAAATGACCTCCCCTTGGAGAGAGTCAAAAGCAGAGGTCATGAGAGGTAATGGGTATTTGTTTTTTACCGTAATGTTATTGAGACCTCTGAAATCAATGCAGGGCCTGAGGGTGCCATCCTTCTTTCCCACAAAGAAAAACCCTGCCCCCAGGGGTGATGAGGAGTGATGAATAATGCCAGCCGCCAGCGAATCCTTTATGTAGGCCTCCATTGTCTCGCGTTCGGGCTTAGATAAGCTGTAGAGACGACTCCCAGGGAACGGAGAACCAGGCAACAGCTCAATAGAGCAGTCGTAGGGACGGTGAGGTGGCAAAGACAGGGCTTGTTGTTTGCTGAAAACCAACTGAAGGTCATGATAATCCAGAGGAATATTAGATAAGTCCGGTTCTACAGAACCCGTCACGATGATGGGCGAACGGTCTCTGGAAACCGGAAGCGCCGGTGCTGGGTGACGTCACTCCCCTGTCGCGGGTGCCAAGACCTCCTCCGCTCCCGGAGGCGATTGTCAATACGAATAGAAATAGAGATTAAAGCATCTAAATCAACAGGTTCAGGATAAGAGATTAATTCATCCTTTATGGCCTCACTCAGACCCTTGGAAAAGGCTGCTTGGAGAGCCACCGCGTTCCAGCCACTCCCCTCTGCCAGCGTGCGGAACTCCACGGCGAACTCAGCCACACTCCGGAACCCCTGGCGAAGAGAAAGCAACCTCATGGAAGCGTCAGGGCCACTCACCGGATGGTCGAAAACCTTGTGTAGCTCAGAGCAGAAGGTGGCGTAGGAAGAGGTAGGTGTGGACTGCTTCTCCCATACTGCTGAGGCCCATTGCAGAGCGTCTCCTTTTAAGAGCCCAATAACAAAAGCAATCCTGGATCTGTCCAAAGCGTAGGTGCGGGGCTGTTGTTCGAAAACCAAATCACACTGCATTAGAAACGGTTGACAATGTCCCAAGATACCCTTACCACGTTCTGGCGTGGGAACCCACGTTTCCCAATCTGGCAGTGCGATCGATGGCGCTGGTGGTGCGGGATCTGGAGCAGCCGCTGCGGCCACAGTCAGCTGAGTTTGTAGCTCTGTGACGTTGATTGTGAGTTGTCGTAGTCCATCCATGATCTCCCTGAGAGAATGACTGTGCTGTCCGAGGGTGTATTCTTGCGCTATAACTGCATGTTTGACCGCGTCTAAGTCTGCTGGGTCCATACTGGCTGGATTGTACTGTCAGATATGGTTTAACCAGAACCCAGAAGCAGATAGAGACGGGAGAGGCAGGCAAGACAAGGTGGGAGCGAGTGATTGAGCTTGGTGGCAGGCTCGACGATAGGCAGGGACGGCAGGCAGTGTGTGCTCCTCCAGAAAAAACAGGCAGGTATGGGCATAAGAGAAGGCGTCCTCTCCAGATCTATACAACATAACAATCCAGCGAAGGCTGAGGAGAACTGCAGGGCTTATGAAGCAGCACAGAACGACATGATATGGATCAGATGTGCTAATCAGTCTGCCAGACAGGTGAGTGAGCCAGAGCCATGCTTCCCCACCAGTCACGCCTCCTGTCAAACCGCAAAGGTAGAGAGAGAGAGAGGCCCAGCAACAGAAAAACCAAAACACACCAGCCAGCCTCACACACTCAGAAACAGAAAGTAACAAAACACAGACAACCACACACAGACCCTCCCAGCATAGTCATAGTTGAGACCTCTTGACAGTATTTGACTTGCCATCTGCTGGGACCTGATGACCAGGATTTCTGTTTTGTCTGAGTTCAGTTGGAGGAAATTATTTGACATCCATTTTTTAACTTCACAAAGGCAGTTGTTAAGTGAACTCAGCATTCCAGGGTCTGTGGATCTGACCGGCAAGTATATTTGTGTGTCATCAGCATAAATATGAAAAGAAATACTATGTTTATGGATAATATGTCCAAGGGGAAGCAGATACAAGGAAAACAAAATGGGTCCTAAGACCGATCCCTGAGGCACACCATATTTAACTGGACAGAATGAAGAGACATAGTTGTTTACAGACACGCAAAACTTCCTGTTTGACAGGTAGGATGAAAACCATTCTAGGGCAGTACCAGAGATCCCCACCCAGTGCCTCAGTCTGTCTAACATGATGTTGTGATCAATGGTGTCAAAAGCAGCGCTAAGGTCCAGGAGTACCAGGACTGAGCACATACCTTCATCAGCAGACATTAAAAGGTCATCGGTGACTTTAAGCAGGGCAGTCTCAGTGCTGTGGTACTTCCTGAAACCAGATTGAAACTTTTCAAATAATTTGTTATATTCCATTAAGCACTGGACGTGTAACTCATTGTATTTTAACATAAAGAAACAAAGTACAGTAATGAAATAAGAATTCAAACTATGTAGCAATTAAAGCTTTACACCTTCCAGGCCTCTTTGGAGGATATAAATTTGTCAGGTTCAGACACCTACAATATATCAGACAAGGAAGAAAGACAAGAGAGTTAGTGCCTTTTTACTCTCGAGGAGAACGGTACTTGTTACATACTCCAACCGCTCTGAGGTATATCTTCCGTTTCCTCTCTTTTTATTATATTCAGGGCGTTCCCCAGTTACATGCATGTTGCTGCTCTAAAGGGAAAGGGGGTGCAGAAACGTGATCAACGTCACATATATTATTGTACAGTACTGTTCCAGGAACTATGTACATTAAGCTCAGTCGCCTCTCAGGGCCAGGACTCGGTTCCTGTTATTTTGTTGTTGTTGTCCACTCCGTGTGTCATTTCCTTCAGTCACACCATCCGCTGTAGACTTCCTGTCAGTACATTTCTGCAAACAGACTTACACACTTGCATTAGTACACGTCTTGATATATATTATTGTTTCAGATTACATCTTTGTTTAACCAGGAAAGGCTCATTAACATTAAAAATCTATTTTCCGAGACAGACCTGGCAAAGATAGACAACAGCATGTCCATCCATCCACCTTCAACTGCTTATCCGGGGTCATGTTTCAGGGGAAGCAGCGGACCCAAAACCTCCCTTTCCCGAGTAACATTAACCAGCTCTGACTGGGGGATCCTGTTGGATCAGATGTACGACCAGGCTGGGCCAGTTTCAGCCTGGTCCCCACCTTCACCAGCTTTTTAAACTTTCTCAAAAAATACTCTATTAACTTTCCACTACAGTCAAAAACTTCTCTGGAGACGGTCAAGAGTAAGTAAGTAAGTAAAATGTATTTATATAGCACTTTTCACAGAAAAATATCACAATGTGCTTCCCAATAAAACAACAAAATACAGTTCTAGCTAAACACCAGAAACATATTGACATATGGCAGACAACTTTAAAACCAAGCTTAATGTTTAGCAAACACCTGTTTGAATAACAGAGCTTTTTAAAAGAAACAACATAGTTTAAGGTGCGTAACGAAGTGGGGAGTGCATTCCACAAACTGGGTGCAGCTGCTTGGAAAGACCGGTCTCCTCTGGTCTTAAAGTGGGTCAGGGGAACTACCAACAGCCTCTGACCTAATGACCTTAGGTTACGGGGAGGAGTAAGTTGCTGTAACAGGTCGTAAATGTAAGAGGGAGTTTGAGCATGCAACACTCTAAATGTAAGGACCAAGATTTTAAAATGAATTCTAAAATGAACTGGCAGCCAGTGAAGGGATGATAGGACTGGAGTAATGTGCGCTCTTCTGCTTGTATGTGTTAAGAGTCTAGCAGCTGAGTTCTGGACAGCTTGGAGGCGAGTGAGTTCTTTATTACTCATGCATGTAAAAATTATTACAATAATCTAAACGGGAGGCTACGAAGGCATGGATGATCATCTCTAATTCTATCTTTGACACCATTGATCTTAGTTTGGATATGTTCCTAAGTTGGAAGAAGCAGTTTTTTAGTTGGACAACACCTAGGTTCCTATGGCTCGGTTTCACAGACAAGCCCAGGTCACCCAAATATTGCTTGATCAAAGGGGTAATGCTATCAAGTGCAATAATTAATGTCTCTGTCTTATCTGTGTTCAGTTGCAAAGCGTTCTCATTCAGCCAGCGCTTGATGTTGCTCCAACAGTTTGCTAGTGCGGATAATTTATGGAGATCTGTAGCCTTAAATGAGCAATACAGCTGAATATCATCCGCATAAAAGTGGTAAAATATATCGCTGAACCGTCTGATAATTTGTCCAAGAGGGAGAATGTACAGGAGAAATAAGAAAGGTCTCAGGACGGACCCATGGGGTACCCCATACAACACTGCTTTATCCGACATGAACCTGTTTGCAAGAACACTAAAACTCCTCCCACCCCGGACAGACTCTGATTCTGATCTTGCAAGTGGCACGAGATCTCCTCACACCAATACTACACTCCTACATCACATTTGCTCTCATATTGCAGACTCAGCTTGCTGTGGGACTTATTCTGTGGGCCATATTCTAACATGCCATCAATGTAGCAGTTTACATCCGGCCCTCTGCCAACCTGATGTCAGCATTTAACGTCATTTACACCGCAATTCTCAACTCCAGACTCAACACAGAGTGCCCTCATAATCTCAGGTGACTTTAACCTCGTCACCATGGCCACCACACTAACTTCATCCAGTGTATATATATAGTTCCTTTTACAGAACATCACATATCATACCAGTACTCATTATTACTAGTACTATTTATTCACTACTCCTGTTCATCATTGCAATTCTGTTAATGTGTTTTTTATATGAATATATTTCTTCCCAACTTTCAATTATTATTTCTATTCCTTTATGCCTTGTCCAACATGTGCAACCGTGACACAAGAATTTCCCCTCGAGGATCAATAAAGAGTTCTGATTCTGATTATTCTTATTCTAATTCTGACAATCTGCTCATGGATGGATAGACTTAAAATAGCTATTTTTTCTTTTTGTTTGTTGTTGTGTCTATTGCTGTGATGTGAAAGTATTTGATATTTAATCCTGATATTTATTTGTCTTAGTGTAACATGTCCATTACTGCCATCTTTAACATTTAATTTATGTTGTAACAGTTTTGGGTTGTTTACTTTTATGCATTGCAATATTCAGCAAAACATCCACATACTGTAAATGTGTAGTGCATTCACATTGAGAGCATAAAATGGGACATCATGTGGACATCGTGTCAGCCCAGGTATAAAACTATAAACTCATTGGATGTATTCATATTAAGAAATTAGTTTTGGTTCTGGATTCTAAAATAGGCTTTTGATCCGCTGGGCATGGCACTACGAATAAATACCATTAAACACGCAACTTCTTTAAGTCTGGATGAGCTGATCAAGTTTATTGACAAAGTTAAACCATTGCTAGTACAACGTGGAATAATTCTGTGGTCATAAGTCATCACTTTGTTGCCAGCTTTGCTGTGGGGTGCAGAGTGAACCACCTACTCCTGAATATGACGAAAACCAAGAGGATGGCCATATAGATGCTCTCATTTCAAGAAAAACACAACTATGTGTTGAACCATACACAATCAGGAAGAGGTGATATAGTACTATATGTAAATATTTATACACTACACATAATGAAGAGCATCAGCAAATCTCACTTGACTTTTTAAAATGAACATTTTTAATTGTCTATTAAGTTGAATTAATAATAATAATTAATAATAAAGAAATTCCATCTATTAAGTGACAAGTTTGTTGATTTTAGCTTTGGTTTGGGCGACTGAGAGCAAAGGTGAGAATCTCTGACAGCAGAGATTGTACATGAGGACGGGTCTGATGGTCTGGTCTCTAAGACCATAGATGAGAGCACTCAGACATCTGGGAAGGATGATAATACAAACATAAATAACACCCTGGATACGCACGAATATAACACTGTTCAGGTTCTCGGAGATAGACACAAGCAACGGATTGTACACAGTTGAGGAGAGACTGAGGCCCAGCTGCACCAGATGCAGCAGCAGTGTGTTACGAGCCTTACGGGCTGAAGCTTTGTCTGTGGAGGCCGACCTGGCTGCTATCATCACACCAATATAGGAGGAAATGGTTACTACACCAGCTAATACAAACAGGATGGAATTATAGACTTTATCATAATCAGCAGCTATTGGATCAAACATCGTATTGGCTTTGCCACAAACATCATTCATCTGCAGACTCTCCAGCTCTGCAAATGGAAATTTTAACATTAGAAGACCTTGGATAAAAACACTGAGTGAACTGAAGGCCCAAACAACACAAACAGCCACCCCTGTGTTTCTGACGGTGATGATGGCAGCGTGCCTCAGTGGGTAACACACAGCTACAAATCTCTCCAGACACATCACCACCAGTGTGAGAGGAGAGATTTTATTTGTGAGATAACCAAGCATGTTGAGAAAGCCACACACAGGATACGTCATTGTTATTTTACAAGCAGCGATTATGTACATTAACTGACCCTCTGCCATCAGAACAGAGTCTGCAAAAAGGAGGTTAAACAGCAGAATGTAACGAGAGGTGTCACAAAACACTGGTTTACTCCTCAAGGTGAATAACAAGGTCACATTAATGAAGAGAAACACACAGCATGGCACTGTAGTCACAATGGAAAGCAGCATTATTTCCAGAAACCCCTGATCCTGCAGTTCAACACTGATGTTTGTCTGCAATTGATTTGAGTAGGACATATTAAAGAAACATTAACAACATCAGAAATGTAAAACTATTGATTAAAATTGGAGCACAATAGAAAAAATAATTTGACCAGTTTTTATTCTTACCATTGTCAACATGGCTACTGAGTTACCATAAACCCAAAGTCTTCAGCTTTCTTTTTCCCTGTGCAGTCAGATAACAGAGTGGAGTCTTGTTTCCATGTGGGCAGCGCTGGTCTGCAGGGTTTGCCTGTCCTCACATATTGTTTATGAGCTCTGTCTTCACACCTCCTTCATGTGACGTCATCACTTGTCAGGACCTTTAACACTACACTACTGACAAGCAGTAATGGGCAGGGATGAACAATGTGTGTAGTCGGTCAATTGTGCACAAAGTGCTGGTTTATAATGTTTATGTTTACAAATGTTGGCATGGCCCTTAAGCACAGCAAAATCCTCTTAATTAATCTGAGCAATAAATGAAATAAACTATGTAGCAAATAAAGCAGAGACAGGTGTAGTGGGAGCTAGGGAAGGGGGCAAGTGAAAAACAGTCCCTAGTTGAACCAGGGTTAGGGTGGAGGGAGGTCCAAAGGAGGGATTCTTGGAAGAAGTGATTTGGAAACTGAAACATCAAGGTCATGCAGACAATGCCAGGGGGACCGCCCGAGGGCGGCATGGTAAGGGCAAATGTGAATCCCTTCTGGAGACCTGTGGCAGAGGTGAAATCCCTTTGGAGGCCGATGACAATGGCGACAACTTTCTGGAGGTCAGCAAATGAAGGCAAAACCCTCTAAAGGCTGGCAATGAAGGTCAGATCTCTCTGGAGAACGGGCTGGAGGGTGGCAACGAGACTGGGGAACAGAGCCAGAGTCAAAGTGCTGGAGTACAGGACCAGAACCTGCCAACAGAACCTTAGGATTGGAAACTGGTGAGAACTGGAAGTCAGGCATTAGAGTCTGTGGAACCAGAGACACCAGAATCTGCCGAAGAATAGGGACTGAAGGCTACTGTAGCTTAGCAGGGTCAGAGGACATTAGCAGTTCATAGCAGATCATGGAATTGCAGCACACGAGCAAAAGTCTTAAGCAACTCTGGAGCAGGGAATACTTTCAGTTTGGCAGATATAGGTAGTTGCTTTTGTTCAGTTAAGTCAGAAGGCAGAAGACAGGATTTAGCTGTAACTCGGCAGAGACAGGACGTTGCTGCAGTTCAGCAGGGAAAGGAGTCACCACATACTGGACACTGGAAGCAGGAGTCAGTCAGATCATTGACTGGACATGAGGAGCAGGGGCTGACCGGACCGCCTACTGGACAAAAAGAGCAGGAGTTGGCCTGGCCAGCAACTGGATGTGGTACTGAACAACATTGTCTCTGGGTAGCTAATCAGCTGAATCTCTGGTGAGTTGGATAGCAAAGTCTGTGGATGGCTTGATAGGTTGAGTCTCTGTAAAACTGGACAGCAAGAATTCTGTTAAGCTGGCTAGCTTAGCCTCTAAGGAAGTGGGCAATAAAGTCTCTGGATAGCTGGGCAGCACCATCGACTGCAATGAAGACGAGTGGATTGGCGATGATGATGAGGATGAAGTGCTGGGCAGCGATGACAATACAGATCTGGGCAGTAGTGAGGAACGACAATGGTGAAGGCTGAAGGCTAACAGCCTATGGACTTCAAGACCGAAAATGAATCCAGAGAGTTGGATGTCCCAGAGTATGTATCTTGTTGAGCACCTGGTTTCCTTTGACGGGGATGTCTTGTAGGCCAGCCTGGAGCCCTGAAAGGGAGGCTCATGATCCCAGTCTGAGAAGCAGGATTGGGCGCTAAGAGAAGGATAGAATGCTGTAGACAATTTGACTGAAAGTTAGCAGGCCGTGATAAAGCCTGGTAGTCAGCATGCTGTTGGCTAGCAAGCTGGTGGCTAGCTAACCGGATATCTGGCTGAATTCTAGCTGGTGTGGAAACAGGCTGCATAACAAGCAGAAAGCTAGCAGGCCAGGATGAAGTCTGGTAAATAGCAGGCCATGATAAATCCTGGAAATTAGCATGCTGATGGCTAGCTGACTGGAAATCTGTCTGGAAGCTAACTGGGTTTGAACCAGGCAGAAAGCTAGCAGCCTGGGATGAACTCTACTGGCTAACTGACTGAACATTGGGAACCTGGAGCTGAGGCATGACTGCAAGGAAGTCTGGAGTAACCATACACTGTATATAAAAACATACCCTCAGCTTCTTTAGCGAGGCGGCGGTCGTCTTGGAGGTGTGTTTGGGGTCGTTATCATGTTGGAATACTGTCCTGCAGCCCAGTCTCTGAAGGGAGGGGATCCTGCTCTGCTTCAGTATGTCACAGTACATGTTGGCATTCATGGTTCCCTCAGTGAACTGTAGCTCCACAGTGCTGGCAGCACTCATGCAGCCCCAGACCAGGACACTCCCACCACCATGCTGGACTGTAGGCAAGACGCACTTGTCTTTGTGCTCCTCACCTGGTTGCCGCCACACACGCTTGACACCATCTGAACGAAATAAGTTTATCTTGGTCTCATCAGACCACAGGACATGGTTCCAGTAATCCATGTCCTTAGTCTGCTTGTCTTCAGCAAACTGTTTGTGCATCATGTTTAGAAGAGGCTTCCTTCTGGGACGACAGCCACGCAGACCAGTTTGATGCAGTGTGCGGCGTATAGGCTGAGCCCTGACAGGCTGACCCCCCCCACCCCTTCAACCTCTGCAGCAATGCTGGCAGCACTCATATGTCTATTTCCCAAAGACAAGCTCTGGATATGACGCTGAGCACGTGCACTCAACTTCTTTGTCGACCATGACGAGGCCTGTTCTGAGTGGAACCTGTCCTGGTGAACCGCTGTATGGTCTTGGCCGCCGTGCTGCAGCTCAGTTTCAGGGTCTTACGGCCTCGGCCATCTTTATGTAGAGCAACCGTTCTTTTTTTCAGATCCTCAGTTCTTTGCCATGAGGTGCCATGTTGAACTTCCAGTGACCAGTATGAGGGAGTGTGAGAGCGATAACACCAAATTTAACACACCTGCTCCCCATTCACACCTGAGACCTTGTAACACTAACGAGTCACATGACAGCGGGGAGGGAAAATGGCTAATTGGGCCCAATTTGTTGCCAGCGGTTTACATAGCAATGGCTGTGTGATGTGTTATTTTGAGGGGACAGCAGATTTACACTGTTATACAAGCTGTATACTCACAACTTTACACTGTAGAAAAGTGTCATTTCTTCAGTGTCGTCACATGAAAAGTTATAATCAAATATTTACAAAATTGTGAGGGGTGTCCTCACTTTTGTGTGATCAAAATGCCTTTGTTTCTTATCTGATAATAATGGAAATTATAGACCACTTTCTATTTTTTTCCTTTATTAATCATGTTGAAATCAGCCAATTTAAAGTTATGTAAAGTAGTTATTTTTTATGACTGCTAGTTAATGATTGAAATTATTCAAGTTATTGTTGCAAAATTAAAATCATACCAACATATATTACCATATTTTCATTTTTTTACAACATGTAGGCTAATTTGTAATACTTCATCATTACCATTATGATCATTATGATTTACTAACTGGATTTAACTAGAATGAGATCAAAAACTCAAATGTTAAAAGGCTGAATGTTTCCGGCTCAACGAAAGGGTTCTCCTCTCATCTTCCAGCAACATGCAGCTGAATCAGATCTTTTTCAGTTTGAGGAAACTTCCAAGTGAATAAAAGGGATGGTAGCACTCTGATCAATTTGCAGCTTTTAATTAACAGACCAGTGTTTCATTAGATGATAGATGTCTTTAATTTGCTATGGTGCACTTACAGTAATACATACGTAACTAAGTTGTTGATGAGAAATCCATCACATGAACTTATGTTTCTGTTGCTCTTCTCAAACATCACAGAATGAAGGTTCATTAAATGATGTGAAGATATATAAGATGTAAGATATCTGGAAAAGATCAAAATACATAAAAATGTTCTGGACACACACAAATACAATCCTTTGATTGCCACATTACGAACAAGGCCCTGAGGTCGAGCTGAAACACATGTTTAAACAACTTTCTGGTTACATTGTCTCAAATTTCAGTCACACATTGAAACAACACCATAAATTAATCACACATGTGCCCACAAAATACCTATTACCAAAATGCAGCAGAATTTCTTAGGACATTATTCATTCATAATACAACTATTTATTAATTAACTGCATTATTAATGTCTTCAGTAATGTTTAACGGTAAATGGACTGAATTTATATAGCACTTTTCTAATTTAACAGACAAAGAGCTTCCATTTTGAGCAACCAGGGATCAACTTTGACATTATACATATTTATCAGTGAGGTTCTGAGTTCACCATATTCTGCAATCCAGAGGGTAGATAAGGTCACATCACTAAAATATCCATTATCTTTAGAAATATGAACAAAACTCTTAAACAACTTGACAATATGCTCATGGACGGATAGTCTTTTTAAAAATCTTTTTACAGTATGTCTGTGTGCCCTAATGTGAAAGCAGTTGATATTAATGTGTGCAAACCTAAATAATTACTACACATTTGTTATCAGTGTAATTTATTCAAATGAATAATTCAAGTAAAAACTTTTGGCCTGCTTCCTTTGAGTGCTGGTGTTACATGCATATACATGTACAAGATAATGTTAAATGGAGCAGAACTGGCTGTATTTGTCTCAGCATAGCATGTCCATCACTTCCAGTTTTTTATTTATCTTGTAACAGTTTGTTTATTTTTATGCATTATTTAGCAAAACATGCACATGCTGTGAATATTTATTGCATTTCAAATATTAGTTTTGGTTCTGGATACTAAAATAAGGCTTTTCAAAAAAATGCTGCAGAGGTACAAGTAAGCTTTTAAACACATTGCAAATTATAGTTTGCTTTTTAAGTGTTGTATATCCCTGGATGGGCTCATCAAATGTATTAACAGAGTTAAACCATAACTAGTCTAATGTGGAATAAATCTCTGTCATAAATCATTGGAGTACAGGAACCTGGTGGCCAGCTTTGCTGAGTGGTGCATAGTGAATCACCTATTCCTCAATGTGACCAAAACCAAGAGGATGGTCACAGAGATGCTCTCATTTCAAGAAATAAACAACTGTGTTGAACCATATACAATCTGGAAGAGGGGATATAGTACAGTAAGTAAATATTAATATTCAACACGTTCATGAAGGGCATCCACAAATCACACTTGGCTTTTTAAAATGAACATTCTGCATTCTCTATTAAATTGAAAAAACAGATTTGTTAAGAAAGTCACATCTTAAGTGACAAGTTTGCCGATTTTAGACTTGGTTTGGACGACTAAATGCAAAGGTGAGAATCTCTGACAGCAGAGATTGTACATGAGGACGGGTCTGATGGTCTGGTCTCTGAGACCATAGATGAGAGCACTCAGACATCTGGGAAGGATGATAAAACACACATAAATAACAGTGTGGATGCGCGAAAGTATGACACTGTCGTATTTGGAGATAAAGAAAAGCAAGGGATTGTACACAGTTGAGGAGAGACTGAGGCCCAGCTGCACCAGATGCAGCAGCAGTGTGTTACGAGCCTTACGGGCTGAAGCTTTGTCTGTGGAGGCCGACCTGGCTGCTATCATCACACCAATATAGGAGAAAACGATTGCCACACCAACTGATACAAACAGAAAACAATTGTAGGCATTGTCATAATCAGCAGCTACTGGATCAAACATCATGTTGTCTTTGCCACAAAAATCGTCCATCTGCAGACTCTCCAGCTCTGCAAATGGAAATTTTAACATTAGGAGAACTTGAATGAAAACATTTAGTAAACTGAAGGCCCAAACAACACAAACAGCCACCCCTGTGTTTCTGACGGTGATGATGGCAGCGTGCCTCAGTGGGTAACACACAGCTACAAATCTCTCCAGACACATCACCACCAGTGTGAGAGGAGAAATATCACTCACAACATTGACGAGCATAATTAGAACACCACACACAGGATACGACAGCATTATTCTACAAGCAGCAATTATGTACATTAACTGACCCTCTGCAATCTGCATGGTATCTGCAAGGAGGAGGTTAAACAGCAGAATGTAACGAGAGGTCTCACAAAACACTGGTTTACTCCTCAAGGTGAATAACAAGGTCACATTAATGAAGAGAAACACACAACATGACAGTGTAGTCAGCATGGAAGACAACAATAATCCCAGTGACACCTGATACTGCAGTCCAACAGTGATGTTCGTCTGCAATTGATTTGAGTAGGACATATTAAAGAAACATTTTAACCTACTGATTGAAATTGGAGAACAATAGCAGAATTTATTAGTCCAGTATTTATTCTTACCATCGTCAACATGACTACTGAGTTAACATAAACCCAAAGTCTGCAGCTTACTTTTTCCCTGTGCAGACAGATAACAGAGTGGAGGCTTGTTTCCATGTGGGCAGCGCTGGTCTGCAGGGTTTGCCTGTCCTCACATATTGTTTATGAGCTCTGTCTTCACACCTCCTTCATGTGACGTCATCACTTGTCAGCACATGTGTGACATGTAATGGACAGGGATTAATCACTGGACGTGTAGTTTTTCAATTATTAAAGCAAAGCAACACAAAGTACTTTTTTAATAATGTTTGTTTATAAATGAAGGGCACGGCCTGTATTCTCAGCCAAGTCCTCTAAAATAGGTATTTGAGCAATGAATAAAATAAACATTTAAACTTTTCAGTGTAACAAATAAATCAGAGGCAAGTGTTGTAGGACCTGACAGAAGGGACAAGCAGGTCCGGAGGATGACCACGGAGTACACAGTGATGCCGAAATCCCTCTGGAGGCTAGTGGCAAAGGCAAATCTCCTTTGGAGGCCTGCTACAAGACTGGAGACCAGAGATGGTGTTAAATGCCTGACGTGCAGTACCAGGGCCCGGCAACAGAAAGAGACAGGGAATTGATTTTGCTTAGCAAAGTCAGAAGTTAGCTGCAGCTCAGAAGTGACATGAGTCAGCAAACTGAAGACTAGACACCGGAAGCGGGAGTCGGCCAGATCACCGTCTGGACATTAGGAGCGGGAGTTGGCTGGGCCGTGATGGGAAACCAGGGAGGTACTGAACATTAGGATTAGAATAAGGATTAACCTTTATTGCACCCCTTGGGATAAATTTGTCTTGGGCATTCAAGAGACCACAGCGTCTGGTAGCGCATAACCATCTACATATACAGTCACACTGCAATGTGGGTGGTGATGGCGCAATGTATAAGACACATGCCTTTGGTGTGAGAGACCCGGGTTTATTCCCCCACTGTGACCCATCCACCATCGTGTCCCTGAGCAAGACACTTAACCCCTAGTTGCTCCAGATGTGTTCGACCTCTGACATGTATAGCAATTGAAAGTCGCTTTGGATGAAAGCGTCAGCTAAATGTACTGCAGTAACATTTAAAACTTAGATTTCTAGATAATCCCCAACAGTTACTTCTCCCCACAATAGCTGTAGTGATAGATATTGCATAATACAGTATTCCCCACAATCAGCGTTAACTATTAGATATTACCAGTGCCTATTGTTTTTTGCACATTCCCTACAACTAAGGTTACCCATTTCCTACAAATATAATTACAAATTGTACAGAGCCCTCTTAACTCGTGGTTGCACATTTCCTATTAGTAAAAATTCTAAACCCACACTAAATCCCTCCCCTTCATACGAACACCCACATGCCTCATCTCTTACTGTAGAAGTTTGATTGATAGTGGAACTAAGGAAAACTTTTACCTGTTCAACTTGCTGTTTGGTTAATTTCTTACTTTTTATGAAGGATTGCGAATGCTGTGTAATACATAAACACACACATGCTGAGCCAATTGCAGCTGAGAATCAAAATGAATGCCTAAATACCTGCATGTTGTCACCTGTTCAAATCTCTCCCCATTAATTAAGACTGGGCTGTGATCACCAATGGACAGGGGATCAAAGACCATTTCTTTTGTTTTTCCCTCATTTAACCTCTGATTGTGCTCCTTACACCACTTCTTCTCTTGCCGTCTCCTCCCAGTGCTGTTCCAAAGACTTTTATTCCTGTAATCATAACGCATGGACCTGTAATCCAAAACATGCACACCCCTCACAGAAATCCTAATAATCTATTAAGGATTAAGACAAATGCACCAACTCCAGCACCCAGTACAAATACACTTGAAATGGCACTACTCAATGAGAGATCACTTTCAAGTATGACTTTTATTTTAAATGATTGTATTCTGCAAATCTAGATTTTATGTTTTTAAGGTTTTCAATGAAATTAATGAAATTGTCATTGCCTTATTGTCAGTGGGCTCAAAACTCACTTAGAAATGAAGCACACGCCTGTTTTCTCCGTTGCTTGCATAAGCCACTATTCTGCTTTTAATGTGAGGTCTCCGGGTCGGATTCTTTAGGATACAAAACAACAACAAAGGTTTATGTGCTGAAGCCCATCAGACCAAACAGGTTCAGATGATGTCGAGTAAGAACAAAGTGAGCATTAGTAAAGTTGGAGAAACAGAGAAAGTCACGTTAGCTCGTCGGCTAATGCTGAGCAGTTGCTAATGTTATCAGGTGCAAAGTTATATCGCTTTCAACATTACTTCATCAACTAACGCCACCCATGTTACTATCCTGTGTACCACTGTTGATTTAGCCTGCAAGAAAGGATGTAAAGTGAGTAGTAGTGATGCAGCCAGGAGCAGCCAGCTAACGCTACAGCAGCTCGGACATGCCGCTGCTTGCATCGTAACGTTCAGTTTATGTTTATTATGTTTTTACAAGTACTCAGATACAAAGCTTCTCCACCTCTCAGTGCTGTAACTAACGTGACCCACATATCATAAAACACTGCAACAAAACAGTCACAACAACACAGAGGAAGAGCGATCCACTAACACTACAATAAAGTTACTTACTGCGGTCTAACTGTTATAAAGTGTGACACAATCTCATTATAATATGGAGCTACGTTAAATAATGGGTCCGGAGTCATTTTCATCAGTCAGGAAGTTTTAACAGACAGCTGAAGTCGGTCTCCTCCTCTCCAGAACAAGCGGAACAGCTGATTACAGCAAGTAATAAAGCTTGCCCACCACAGGCAAGGCAGACACCACAAATCATGTTCTTATACTGCTCAAGCGACACAGACGTGAGTGCTGGAGCTGATCTGCAGCTCTTGTTGGCTGGAAATGATTTCATAACCTTCCAAACTGTCGCGTTTTTATTTTTGTATTGCTTTGTCTGTGCTGGAGATATTTCAAGAACTTCATAGATTTATCCAGTTTGTTATTAAATTTGTAATTAAATTTGTAAATGGGAAGAGCCGTCTGTACTTACTGAGAAGGCTGGGGTCCTTCAACATCTGCAAAAAACTGCTGCAGATGTTTTACCAGTGTGTGGTGGCCAGCATCCTCTTTTATGCTGTAGTTTGCTGGGGAGGAAGCAGCCAGAAGAGAAATGCCAGTCAACTGGACAGACTGGTGAGGAGAGCTGGCTTAGTGGTGGGCTCAGAGCTGGACTATCTAGTGACAGTGACAGACAGAAAGACCCTGGACAAACTGCTCTTCATACTGGACAACGCCCACCACCCTCTGCACAACACTTTCATCGGGCAAAGAGTGTGTTCAGTGGCAGACTGCTGTCCCAGCCCAGCTCCACCAACTTTTGGTTTTCAATTGGTGTTTACAGAAAACCCACACACACAGACCAATACCTACTGTTCGATTCCCACCACCCACTGGAGCACAAGCTAGGGGTCATGAGAACACTGCACCACAGGAGCCAGAGAGAAGGAACAGAACCACCTGAAGGGGGCACTTACAGCCTGTGGGTACCCTAAACTGACCTTTGTGAAAACAGCCACAAAATCCAAGAAGAACAAAACTACAGGGGAGGAAAAGAAGGTCAAACGCAACAACATTGTGACTCCATATGTGTCTGGAGTATCAGATAAACTCAGGAGGATTTTCAACATCCCTGTGTTTTTTAAACCCAAGAACACACTAAGACAGATGCTGGTCCACCCCAAAGACCGCACACCCAAACACAAGAAAAGCAATCTAGTGTATGCAGTCCAATGCAGTGAGGAATGCACAGACCTGTATATTGGGGAGACTAAACAACCACTACACAAACGCATGGCTCAACACAGAAGGGCCAACTCCTCAGGTCAAGACTCTGCAGTCTACTTACATCTGAAGGACAGAGGACGCTCGTTTGAGGACCACCAGGTGCACATTTTAGACAGAGAAGATGGATGGTTTGAAAGAGGTGTCAAGGAAGCATCTACACCAGGGTTGAGAAGCCGTCATTAAACAGGGGAGGGGGTCTACGCCACCACTTATCCCCCCACTTACAATGCTGTCCTTTCATCACTTCCCAGGAAACTCAACAAACATAACCTATTGGCCTCAGGTGAAGATACCAACGATGGTCGTTCAGTCTTGGCCACATGTAGTCCTAACGACCGTAACAAATGTTTTTACAACAACTAGGAACACTAACGAACCAGCGGTATCGATGACCCGGGCCAACGACCCCACTGAGGTTAAATAGCTGAGTTTCCCTACCTGTCAGTCAGAACTGAAGAAGTCCCTTGGATGAGGGATGAAATGTTTTCCAGTATCTTCAACCAACTCCAGGTGCCCTTGACTTTAACCTTTGTTTTATGACATTGCAATGCACTTCTTCGCCACACATTTCAATTTCAATGAATTTGAGTTGTGCATTATTTAGAGAATGGTAATCCCCGATAAACAAAGTTCAGGGTCCACAGGAACATTAACTCCTGTGATCCTGGTTAGAGTGGAGCTGATATCATGCCTAAAAGGACTAACTTTTATACACAGCCAGGTACAATGCAAAAAGCAGCCAACAGGGTAGATTTGAATGATTTAAATTTTTCTGGGGAAAGGCATAGTTGACGTAGAATATTATACTTAATCAATCTGTATCTGGCATTGATAAAAGTTGACAGGCTAAAGCTGTTCATCAATTGCAACATTGAGATCTGACTCCCATTTCATTCTTGACTTATGCACACCTGGTTTGGGGCCCTATATTAGTAAATTAATTTATATGTTTTCCCATCATAAAGAAATCTTTCAACAACATGACAGGCAGAGTCATTTCAGGACCCAAATTAGCTCTCAAAAAGGAAAGTTGGAGACAACAGTAAAAGGTTTGCTTCTACAGGTTATATTTCCTCCTCAGGTGCTCAAATTACATGAAAAGTCCTTTGTCAAAG